TTCACAAATAAATCTTTAATCAAACTAAATAACAATAATGAAAATCAAAATATTTAAATTGAAGTAAATACAACACACCTCTTGCCCTAATTCCTTGGGTACGAGCAAACAGCAGAAAAAAAAAAAGGAAAATCATCATAACAAAACAAGGATTTGCAAGACACACCAAGAACTCCATGCAACAGGAAGGATTATCCTCAATATTTTCTTCTTTAATTGAAAATAATTAAAGAAAAAGCCCATTTCTGTCAATCTTTCAAATTCTTTATAATTAGTAGAACTACTTGTTTGGGATGACCTATTGACTATCTATTCTGTCTCTGTCATCACTCAAATGCAGATTTCTTTTTTTATACTCTATGTCACATGTCATTACCTATCTAATCAATGTGAAATTTTGCGATCTATACTGCTCCATACTCATAAATTCTATCACAGTAGATCAACAGAAATTTATGCACAAATTTATTGTCGCAGAAGAAAAGGGGTTACTCAATCTTTAATTACAATATAACAATAAGTCTAGCATCTGCAAACTTAAAGAGAGTAAGCAAGAAAGGACATACTCCTACAGTTTGAATTTCCCCTTCAGTATACAGCTATCCAATACTTCAAATAGGAATAAACATTTCTATTGTCTTGACTTTTCATTAAGCAACTTCAAGGAGATTAAAAAAAAAATATCAGGAAAATTGGCTCATTGCAGTGAGGGCAATTACTTGAGTGGCAAGCAAGAGAATAATAATAACAATAGGTTATTATCCAAAAATCAAACACAAAGAATTGCAAAGAAAGAAAAAGAAAAAAAGAAAAAAAAAAGAAGGAAAAAGAGAGAAACTAAACGGACAATCTTTCAACACTTGTATATTTCCTACATTCACTGCAAAAGATCACAAAGTTCATATGCAAATGTTAAAATATACGATATGTAACTTTATCTGGACAGAAAAAAAAAACAAAGAATTAAAAAAATAAGCCTGCAAAATGGCACACACACACACACACACACACACAGACACACACACTCAAAATGTTGCAAAACAGAAACTATCTGGGCACACAGGAAAATTAGCCGCCTCTGATAACGTTGACTATTTCTCCGTCCTGGCTGTCATAATCATTCCATCCATTTTAAGAAAAGTTTACATTTGCAAAATGATGATGCCTTGTTGGTACTTAATTTAGTTACATGAATAAAGGTCTTTTACTGCCACATGTATCTTGTGCATAAAGCTGGTTGAACGTTTATACAGATTACTTTAGTTAAAGTATAAGAATAGAAGATAACAATGTAAGAAAACCAGAGCAAAAATTCCATACACAATTGTCTGCATACAAATTAAATAAATCTAATTCCTCCTACCCATAATAAAAGCTCAAGCAGTTCTTTCAATTCTATTCTTGTTACCTAAGTTGCATTAAAAATTCATTGATGTGTCAAATAAAGTTTGTGGCAAATAATCAACTAAATAAAACATAACTTCTGTGAAGATAAATGAAAAAAAAAATAATAATAATAATAAATAAATAAATAAATAAAATAAAATAAAATAAATAAAATCAGATGTATAAAACATGCCAACAAAGATGAACTGAATAATATCTTGGATGTAAATCAGCAACACCTTCAAGAATTTTAACAAATCTTATAACAGCGTTCCTTCTCCCAGTATGTTCTCAGGTGGAAAAAATAAAATTTCTATATTCAAAAACTAAAAGAAAAGTACAAATTGAAAGTCAAAGGTAGTACTGCATAGAAATCAATAATGTCAATGAATTTCAGTCAACATTACAACAAACATGGAATTACAACATGACAGTAATAGATGACAATCACATTGCATCTCAAATGTACAACTAGTAACAAATCTTTTAACATTACAATTTCAACCGGAAACTCTTGCCATGTATTCAGTTTTATCAAAATACCAAATGGATTTAATCTAATTTGATCCATTAAGGCCACATACTGAGATCTTAAATCCTCCTGGTGACTAATCTCTCATAATTTCAGATTTAAATATCCTTAGAACCACATTTGTGTTTTATATCTTTTGTGTTTTATATTCTTTCCTTTTTATACATACGAAGATTTGTTTAGGCCTAACCTACTACTACAATCAGATCTGGGATGTCCAAAGTTTCTATCTAAATAATGTCTGTGAATCAAGGTGAGGTAATTACTTCCTCCGTCTTACAAAAATATGAAGCATTTCTTAAATTGTGATCATAAATGAAGTAAAAGAGCAAAGTGGAGGAAGAGGGAAAAGTGGATGAGGGGGAGGGGAGGGGATGATGGGGAGGGGGAGGGGGAGGGGGATGAGGCAGAGGAGGGGGGGAAAGGGAGGTGGAAGGGAGGGGGAGGGAGGGGAGGAGGGGGGAGGGGGGAGGGAGGAGGAGGAGGAGGAGGAGGAGGAGGGAGGGAGGAGGAGGGAGGGAGGGAGGAGGAGGGAGGAGGAGGGAGGAGGAGGAGGGGAGGAGGTGGAGGAGGTGGGGAAGAGGGGTAAGAAGAAAATGGGGAAGGGGGAAGAGGGGAAGGGGGAGGAAGAGGAGGAAAGGGGGTGGGGGGGGGGGAGATGAATAGGAACAGGAAAAGAAGTAGGAAGAGGAGGTGGAGGAAGCAGAGGTAGAGATAAGAGGCAGAAACAGAGAACATCCTTCCTTTATAAAAATAAGCTAGTAGCTTGAGGTTCACTTGGGCAATGTTCTTCTAGATCAGCAACGTTACCCTCTAGTTCACCTGGGTTTATTTTTGTGATTAGAACAATTGCACTAAGTTCACTGGTCCCAAGTTCACTCCATGAAAAACTGCTTAGCAATCATCAGGAGTTTCTGGTTTCTCAGACAAATTAATCCTTCCAACTATCACACTACCTAAGCTTCTCTCTTTGTTGTAGGAATAAATCTGCAACTTCTCAAAAGTGTCTTTTCTTCAAAAGTTGTGTTCATGTGTGAAATGTCTTTTAAAAAGGACTTCTGATTGCATCTATCAATAAACTTATGTGAAGATAAAAAAAGAGCAGATGACTGTAACCAACAGCTGCATCACAGTAGTAAAATATAATTGCTTTTATCAACCAGTTCTTATTCAATGAACATTCTTCTCTTTGCTAATGCATTCAATGCACTGTGAAAGAATAACAAGTTGATCAACTTTATATCATACAATTTGTGACAAACATTTTAAAGGAAGCCTTCAGCAACCTCATGTTATACATTTGTAATCTGCTATATCAGAAACATTTTTAGCCCAATTTATGAAACCGGGAATTATACCTATAATTTTCTCAATGTGTGATTTATGAAAGGCACTTTTACAAATGAGATATTACAAATTGAACTTTCCTTTGCTTGGTGAATGAGATTCCTCAGATATACACATTTACATATATTCAATTTTCTTATGTAGTACTGAAGTGCCTTCATAATCCACCTCAGCTAATCCTCCTTTTTCAAAAAATATCTATATGTATTCATAAATAAATTAGGTATCTACTTTCTATTTTTTTCCTACTTGTCTACATACCCATATTATTCAACCCAAAGTGGAAATAGTGAGACTATACCAACCACATTTTTATAAATTGTATTATATGATGCTTCCAGACATATGTATATAGCATAATGTGAAATTTGCCATGTGACTATCATCAATAAAAATATTTTGATAGATATCAATGTCATTCTACTGAGAATCCTACAAAGATGTAAAAACATATCCATAAAATATATTAGTGACCAGTATTTCAATATAAACTTCATTATAAATTTTTCAACTTGTTATTTGCATATATGACAATTATGCCTTATTTGAAGGATGAGATTCAAATCAAATGTAATCTTACATAATCTGACAGGTTTGATTATGGCCCACTTTAGTTGTCCTTTCTTATCTCAACTGTTAATTCTGCTTCTTCTCTTCTTCATTGTCTTCAGACACTTCTGAAGGATCTGAGGATGATCGGTTGTCTTCAATATTGCCCTTGGTAATTGTTGTTGCTATGATGCGTAAAATCAAGTATGTCCAATAAATATGCAACAACAAAAGAGCAATGAGTAGAGAGTTAAATATGTAATAGGCAGGGAACATGGGCAAAATTGTTGGTGCTTCAATGGCAGTGCTGTATACAATCCAGAGTGGGTATATTCCAACACGTGTAATGATCCACAAAACAGCAAAGATGGCAAAGACTGTATCACAGAAAGCCTTGTGCCCTGAATAGATGCTCATTTTTGCCAACTGGAGGGGGATATCAGCACAGTCATGGACAATGAGGACTAATGTTCCAATCCGTGTTAGGTTGCAGGTCCAAGAGAAAGTGATGAGTGCAATGGTGACCATGTGATGGATAAACATCTGCCAAAAATCTTTGCGCTTGGCTTCAAAGAAATGAGTGAAGGTCATGGACCAATAGAAGGAGAGGGATATCATATAGTACCACCAGACATCAATATCAACACTGTGGTTGGGGTATTCATACCAACAATTGCGGATATCCCAGAGCCAAGACTTATCTGACATCACATATAATCCATAGAAAAAGATGAAGGTATAATATGTACATTGCCAGGCACACTCCATAAACTTGGTGAACTTATTGACACGAGTCATGGCCTGCCTCTGCCGTAACCATCTTTCTACTTTGCGTTCTGTCCACTGCAATTGTTTTGCACATTGAAAAATTTCATTTTCTGGTGGTTGCTTTTTGCTTCGAAGGAATAATTGTTCTAGAGTCTCATTAGGCACCACAGGACGAGGCTTTACATCTCTCAGGCCTACTGCCTGAGCTATATGTCGATAGACAAACTTATTGAGCACCAAAAACCGGAGGCCAATTGCTAAAAATGCCATGAAAATTGGATACGTCCACAGATCACTCCAGTTAGCATAGCGAATCTTGTCGTTGGGCACGAGGTCTTCCCAGTTGTAGTTCGGGGGCAGCCACACATCAGGGTTCCAGAACCAGCTCGAAAACTTGTGCCACATCCACGCAGCCATCCTGAGGACAAGAAACGCCATCACCAATCCATGTCATCACGAATTCTTCATCATTTTCAGGCAAAAGATGGGATGATCAACACCGAGAAGAGGAAGAATCTTGTAATAATGAAGAGCAGAGCAGAATGAAGGTATTTTACACTACAAGTCTTTTTTCCCTTAAAATTTAACTCCAAATACCATTACAACAATAATTTGAAATGAAAAATTCTATGTATTGGTGCTCATGTTAGTGCTGGACTACAGATCCACCAAGCAGGATATGTCCAATCTACGATCTACTTTCATTGACAATAAGGATTCTAAACCACATTAGTGCAATTACTAGACTGGGAAGTTTGGAAACAATTTTTTTTTTCAACTACAAAAGTAATTAGGGACAAAATGAATTCAAGCCAAACAATAACCCAGTCTTGACAAATTTGTACTTACTGACTGACACACTCCAAGGATCCTGTCATGCAAAGCCTAAACCAAAAACCCAGAAGAGACCTAGGACCAGCTTACTTAACTGTCACTTTAACCACAGTGGTTGATATTGTAATACTGTTTTTATGTGTTAGGTGGTTAATGCCGCTGATTAGATTAGACGTATTATTGAAGTAATTTAAGAAGATGTGAAGGAAAACATTCCTGATCCCTAATCTTATCTGAATTGTCATACAATTTTTCCAACTTAATTAAAAATAATACTTTTTAAAAATAAAATAACTATGGAGCCTAGGTATGACTAATCTTAAGAGAGACTTTTCTTCAACAAAGTTTCCTACACAATTTTTCCATTCCCAGAAGATGAGTCAATATGTCTAGCTTTTCCAAATTAAGCAATTTCTTATAAACATTTGTTTATATCAGGTCACTGTTAAAGAAGTTACATAATAATACTAATAACAAACAGTTTTCTTTGTGTTATTTATGTTCTCTTTATCTTACTTTTGGGAGTCTAGCAAATGATCTGTTATGAATAATGAATGTCTTCCAACCCTTGTTCTGTTTCACCTTCTCTCTCTGTGAAGACTAACCACTGTAAAGATGAGAAGCATAGAAGAAAGTTTACAAGAACAAGATGATAAAAAAGTTTAGCGAGATTTTTTTCCCTCTCTCTCTCTCTCTCTCTTGGGGAGTTTCTCAAAATCAATTACAATTCCTATGGACTATTTAGCAAAATAGGGACTAGATTCCTTTCCTATATCAAAATCATTTTACTTGGGGCTACTCATAATCAAAATTAAATATTCTATTACTAACAAATACAGCTGGCAAGGAAAATTTGCTAAATCACTGGATCTGTGGAGAAAGTGTCAGAGGTAAGTGCCCTCCTCTTTCACTGTGGAAAAAGCAAGAGCATTCTTATTTCATCTATTAATTTCTTTATATATTCACACATAGAATATATAAAATGTTCAGCTTTGTATTATACAGTTCTACATAAATACACAATGTGATACATCAAATAACAAAAATTACAAAATACATATCTATGAACTTAAAGGAAATAACAACATGCAGGAAGAGCCTAAATTTAGTACAAAAATGTTGGAGTTTATAAATCAAAAAATAAAATCTAATATTCTACTATTGAATACAGATCATAATACAGTATATCATCTTATTGGTACGAAGGAGAAAAAATTGCTCCATGTTATTACAACATTATTCACTTTCAATGCTTAATTTCTAGGAAACAATAATTCAAACTGTAGTAACTAGTTGTAGTTATATTTTCCAAACAAGCTATTAAAGACTGCATATGCTGTATCTATAATCATATAGATGATCTAATGCATGATCCAGATGATATAAGTTTCCTGTGAATTAACCCAATGCCACCAGGAAAATGCTGTTTTTTTTTTTTTTTTTTTCTTTATCTATTTTTTGTGCATGTGCATGTGTGTGTGTGTGTGTGTGTGTGTGTGTGTGTGTGTGTGTGTGTGTGTGTGTGTGTGTGTGTGTGTGTGTGTGTGTGTGTGCGCGTGTGCGTGTGAATACTGTCTCTGGATATAGATGGCTCTGCTAATGCTTAGCCACAAAGGAGTCAATTAGTAGACCTTGTGACCTTACCTGATTTCACCTTTCCTTGAATTGTCGAGACCCCCCTCCCTTTTTTTTACTAATGCTATGAATATTGATGTTATATTTATTATAGATATTATAATTATATAATGTTATAAACATTAGTAACAGCAAAATAAGATAATGAAAAAAAGAAAAAAAGAAAAAAAGAAGAAGAAGAAGAAAAAAAATAAATTAATAAAAAAAAAAATAAAAAAATAAAGAAAATGGTTAACAGGTGAGACAGGCAGTACTTGTAATTGGCTCATTAGTGACTTAGTACAAGTGTAGCCATCTATGTGCAAAAAAAAAAAAAAAAAAAAAAAAAAAAAAAAAAAAAATTAATAATAATAATAATAAAGTAAACTCTCAATGGGACTGGCATATACATACATGCCATGCCCATTGAACTTGGGTTAATGGAAAATATCAGACTTACCAGCACTAACAAAATTATCATTATTATTATTTTTTTAATTAACAGATTTACAATAGCAACAAACATAATCTAGTACTATTTGTATTTTAACCTAATCTGCATGGATGACAAGAATATATGCCATGCTCACTGTAATACAAGTTCACTTATTGTCTTTACACATAGATGACTCTATAAGTGCTTAGTCACCAATAATAATAATAAGTATCAATATCAATAGTATTAGAAAGGAAATACATTTTCCCGCAATTTCAAGGAATTAGAAAATCAGGAGCTCCTTGGTGGCTGAGGACATGTGGAGCCATCTGCATGTAACAAAATTCACAAAATACTATGTGACCCTAAGTTGGCACAGTGTGCATTTATCTTCGAAGACTACCTTGTGTCTCTGGGCAGAACCCCTCCCAAATTCTACAACTATCTTTGGTGGAGGGGGGGGGGGGTTGCCTGATAGAAACAAAAAATCTGAGAACCTCTTGGATATCTTCAATATTTGTTCTCTGTGACCTTGACACCTGCATCTTTTACCCGACACCAGAGACCATTATCTTCATATATCTATTTATCTATTTATCTATCTATTATACAAATAATATATATATATATATATATATATATATATATATATATATATATATATATATATATATATATATACAATTTAATATATATATACAATTTAATATATATGCAATGTAATATATATACAATATAATATATATATACAATATAATATATATACAATATAATATATATAAAATATAATATATATAAAATATAATATATATAAAATATAATATATATAAAATATAATATATATAAAATATAATATATATAAAATATAATATATATAAAATATAATATATATAATATAATATATATATAATATGATATATATAATGTACATGATACATATATAATTTATATATAACATATATAATACATATTTATATAAATATATTTATATTAACATATTCATATTAATACATTTGTATTAATTTATTGATTTTAATATATCAATATATTAATATATTAATATATCAATATATTGATATATTAATATAGTAATATATTAATACATTTATATATTCATATATTTATATACAATTATGTATCTACATATCTATATTTATTAATATATTTATATATTTATATACACATGCATGCATGTATGCACACACCCACACCCACACTCAATTTACTATCTGGATGATATTCATTAAGTCATGAAAAGTCTGGCTGTGGGAAGGGAATGATTATGCCTTGAAAGCAAAAATCTCTTGGAGGGTGATTAGCCTTATTTGGTATTCAGGAAGGGGCTTTTTCCTTATTTCCACAGCTAAAAGAGCCAAGACTGGAAGAGAGCTAGCTCCAGGGAGGACACTACTTCCATGCTAAGGGTCCTATTCCTGGCAGCCATGACCAGCGGCTCACATTGTATTACAAAATACTACTTATGGTTATTATTCTTGCACTGAGTTATCGTCTCATGGATGTGGAGTCTGTGCAAGGAAAACAGCATATTACCATCTGGGACAAACCAAATTAAATGACAAATATGGACACTGGAACATAGGGGGAGGGGGCGAACTTATGCAGAAAAAAAGGAAATAACATTGCAAAGGAGAGGCAGAGTCTTGTGACCTGTCCACTCTGACAGCTGTGCACCTGACAGAGTGGCCAATTAAGTACGCTTAATGCCTGTATTTTGGCCCTTTTGATGCCAGTGATGTATCTGGTTGACTTAGGCATTTTATCATTTGTAACCATACAATGTTTTTATATTTGTAATTTAGTATGTGATTAATCATCCAATCAAGACATTATAAGATCATGTTAATGCAGTGAATAACAATTTTTCATAACTCTACTACAAAGTTAATGCCAAACCCTCCACGACTGCTATCCTTATTTCAAGTTCTTCTATGTGAGGAATGTTAATGAAATATTAAATTTTGAGGTTTTGCTGCTACCTTTAAGTGTCTGAGTGGGAAATTAATGGGTCATGGACTTGTAGTCTTCTTTACCTTGTGAGCCCAAGCGCTCTCTTTTTGCTATTACAGTTTATTTTTACAAGGGAAAATATTTTTTGAGTTATTTTAATATATAAATTTTGAATTTGACCATCTGTGAGAACTTCATTAATACCTTTAGCCTGTTGTGGATGGTTTAACATTACAAACTTCCCTTGATACAGATAAACATCAGAAACTAAACCTACATGCTTAGTTGCTAGTGCTACATTGCCATACAACAAATGACAAATGACAAACCATAGAATTCATTCTGACAAATGTAGCACATTTATGACTGAGAATGAATAATCCCTCAATGCAGGGTATATATCTAAAGTTTCAAGATTTTTATAATTTCGATATATACTATTAAAATGTCAATTACTATATTTTTTATATATCTTTTATTATATTTATTTTATATATCTTATATATCTTTTACATATCTTTTATTATTTGTTCCCTTTTACATCTAGTCCCATTTGTCATGATGAA